AAAAATTCACCACAAATCAATTATTTGCTTCAAAACACACAGTTTTGTATAAGTATATATCTTCAAGTGAGACTGATTTAATGATAGGCCTTGATCATCTCAGTTAAGACAGCTGGCAAGTTTTAGGTTCAATGTTTTATTGTTCAAAGCGACAAATAGGAAACTGAACGGGTTGTCGTGTCATAAGGTAAGCAGTAAGCACATTCAATGATCATTAAAATTTTTTTGACACTTGTCCCTTAAAAATACCAGCCTGCCCTTAAAAAATATTAAAAACAACTTTTGACCGTTATCAGTATTTATTTTTCATTGAACGTACTTACTATTTTGTAATTACTACATCACGTCCCGTTTGTTTGTGTTACAACATCCTGACTCCTGAGCTGTTGGTTGCCAACGTTTTCTCAACATTTCAAAGTCCAAATCCCCTCGCCCCTTAATCTTAATAATGTGTGATAAAGACCTCCCTAAACCTTTTATTTCCTAAGAAATACCCTTAAATCAGATGATAGAATGTATTAAATTGTCAAAATACCCACCTGATTTTTTTTTTAATTATCTTTTGCTTACTCTTTTCTCTTAAATCCTAATTGATCCAAAAATATATCAAGTTTTTTATTTTTATTTTTTCTAAATGAAACCAATTAAAATAATAAGAATCATTTCACTCACATAAAAAAACAAGTTTCTATAATTTCTTGTTTTATTTCATTAATATGAATGTCTCTCTTCATCTTAAAATATAAAAATTATTCATTCATCTCTTAAATAAATTAAGAAAATCAAACGAAACCTTAAATTTATACCTATCATATACCAACTTCTACCATTTCATTTAAATATTGAATCCAATCAGAAATCTGCAAAGATCTATTAGGGCAACTGAAAGAATTTGAATATTATATATAGAAAACTTATTGATTTATAAATCATTGAAATAAATAAGAAAAAGGTAATTTGAAGATTTCAAAAATTAAATAACTGAATCATAATCTTTTTCGAAATTATTAACTGACAAAATTCTAATGGAGGGCGGTATTTATTGCAAAGTGAAGTTAAAGGAAATGTTTGTTATAAATGAAATTTCAGGAGATGGTTGTCACTGACCCTATGACACAGAAGGGGTTTGTAATTTACCCCAAAAATATTTTTAGGCATTATCTGATATGAGCCGAACACCAGATTGATGTTGACAACAAATTAATGCAAAGGAAAGGTATAAATGAATTAAAGTGGGAACAGTTTAAAGTACAAAGGGTTGGTCAGAATTCAGAAACAGTGAGACAGATAATAGTCGAGTCCCGACTCCCGAGTGTCGTAGTAGCAAGGTAATATCGGCATATGGCAGTTCGGTATTGTAGTTCAGAAATTGGGATTTCTCCTTTGTCCTTTGTTTTAAGATAAAAAAATTGATTAAATAAGTTAGCTTTGGAACCTTATGCTTGGGAGCTTTACATTGATAAGGAGATTTAGCTTTGGAACCTTATGCTTGGAATTTAATAAGGAGATGGCTGACAGCGGGGACCAAAATGATCATATATATTCTCTGTAGTATGTAGACGATTCTTGTTTTAAGTTGCAGATTGCTAGTGTCATCGCCTCATTGGACTGGAGTACTGTGAGTTAAGAGTCTAGAAATGCAGACTTGTTCAGAAATTGCAAACCCAATAGATAAGCAAGCACTACATAGAAAGGCATTTTTCTCCAATCAATGAGTTTCATAGCAACCACGAGTGACGACCATCTCTGCTCATTATTGGTTATATTATATTTATGTTTGGTAGATCGAATTGCTAACATCACTTCACAAAACAAAATTATTGACACATCGAGCTAAGAACATAACCACAAATTCAGGGGAGGTTCATTGTGTATCTCCCTACCTCCGCCCATGGAATCATTAGGCGTTATTCTCTTGTCTAAGTTTTTCTTATTCTATGAAAAGTGTTAGAAAGATGTCACTTCCTTCTGATAATCATCATATTTAAAATAAAATGCCCTAAGAATATGTTTTTTGGGTAAAGTAACGCTGCCATCACTTTCAATTCCGCATTCTTTGTATTGCCTTGTATGTTTTATCCATTGGTTGGTACTCCACTTTGTTTTTGCAGTACTGCTAGTGAAAGTAGAAAACCATTGAACTAGGCTTTTATTGATCCAAGTGTTTCATACATTTACAAACTTATTCAAAGGGAGAGTTTCAATTTCATACCACCCTCTCGTCAATTCACAAACTTTTCATTTAATATCCTACTTATTTGATTTTTGGAAATTTATAATTTGCTCCATTTCATAAATTTTTATTGGTTTTCTGATTTTATTTACAAAACTCCCACCTATCATTTGATACATGATTAAGGGTGATTTGGCACGACCTAGTAAGAAGGGGATACACAAACGCAATCTACTCGAGGGATGACAATTCAGTTGAACGAACCCATTTTGCAATATTCGGAGCTCGAGTATCCCGCCACCTCGGCCTAAAAAACCATCTCGGCATAGAAACACCTCGATACCCATTCTAGTTTGGCACTAACGAATCGAAGTGCCAGTTCGGAACTAATGAGCCGAAAGGCCACATAATCTGCTCCAAAGGCCTTCCCAACAGACCCCGAATTTCTCAAGATCACGATGAGGCTCGTCCTAGCTCCACCTGAATCGAGGATAAACGCTAAACCTTATCAACATATTGCTCTTATTCAAAAACAGAACAAACCTTATCTGCACAGCCCAGAGATCCCGGAGCTCTTTCGTAAGGCCCACGGCTACTCCATTATATAAGGACATGAAACTTCAAGGCAAAGGCACACGTGATTACTTTGCTCACTAGCATTCAAGCACTCAAATATTCAGTTCACATTCATAACATAAGTACTGACTTAAGCATCGGAGCGACCTCGTCGGGTTAGCTACCCCGGGTTCTCTGATCCACGAATTTGCAGATCGATCCAGCTCGCCGCTCAATCAGAATTCGAATCATCTTCCAACTAGGAGTATCTAGATCGCGCACCATCAATACCTTTTGTCAATGGCGGATCTATATAGAAGCCAGTGTAGGCAATTGCCCCCAATTGGATTTGAAATTATTTTATATGCAAATGAAGAAATTTAATTTTTTTCTTTACAATTGCCCCTACTCAAATAAAATTTGACTTCTTAAATGAGTACCATTTTTCATGGTTTTAAAAGGCCTAATAGGAAAGGCCACATGTGTGCCCCCACTGACCAAAGGTCTTGGATCCGCCATTGCCCTTGTATTTTGATAGATTAGATTCTCTACACTTTTTGGACCATTTACTTAGACACCCCTATATATAGTTTCACATATTTATTAAAGCACATGCTTTATCTGAATATTATTAAAACAGCCTCTATAGTTTGCAACCACTTTACTTTTACTTCATTGATCTTTATGTTAAAGAAGCATTTGTATTTCCATCTAGCAATGATCATTTAACCTTTAAAACAAGTAGAAAATGTGAAAGTGCATAGGTCTAGGGTTTTTAATTCCAATTGTACATAGTAGTTTCTATATCAATCTTATAGAAACAAAACCCTCCTCCATATTATAACTTGGACGGTAAAAGGTGTGGAGTGCATGCAATACAAGAGCTGCTAGCTAGGGGTGGGTGCTTTTTGGAAAAAACAAAAAAAAAAAAACACTATGGACCCATGCCCTTTTACATTTTCTACTCATTCTAAGAGGTAATGTGTCTATTTCCAAATAGAAATACAAGTGGTTCATAAAGAAGGGTGTAAAGCAATTGCAAAATATAGGGGGTGTTTAAGTAAATTAATCTTTTTTCCCACAAATTGCACATTCTATGTGGTTAATACGAAAAAATTAAGATTTAATTGGAACGTTTAGAAGGCTTAGGGCTGTCAATGGGTTGGGGTCCAAAACAATCCAATTATATAATAGGGTTTGGGTCTACATTAAGTTCCCAATTATAATTGTGTTGGGATCAAGAAGAAAGTTCTACACCTTCACTCAATTAGTTGTACTTTTAACAGTAATACAGGTATAGATATAGATGTCATGATAATCATAGAGATGGAACTATGCATTTTATAGACAGTATCCCTTGGTTGAGTTATTGCATAAGCAATGCTAAAAGCATACAAAATAATCCTTGGATATGTATTGAAAATGCAACATACACCTTTCTAGAATATCATGCATTTATGTCATTACAAGTAATCCCTCACCACCCTTACCCTTACTGCAATTCTTTCTCTTTCTCATATTAAGTGCGAACCACATCATGTTGCATTCTACCTTCTTGATAGACAAATATCCCTCCTTATACCTCCATTCTCTTTCATTTAAAATGGAGGCCACTTTGTTTTAATTCTCACAAGCAAACAAATAAAACAAACTCAAATCTAAATAAAAAACAAACCAGAATTTACACTTGCCCTTTTATACTCTCATGCAATTACTCCCATAAAATAAAATTTGTATTGTAACCAAACACAGCTTTAGTTGTAAATAGAACTCACATCAACCGGCACCTCTCATGCTATGTGCTGTGAAGCGCCTCAAATCCAAATCCAAATCCAAATCCAAACCCGATACTCTCAAGGCTGATCTTTGATCATTCCACAATTAGATAGAATATAATATAGATACACTCTTATCCGATCTGATGTGTTAAAGTTCAAACATTTACGGTTATTTGGAATTTATATTTTTGATCGAAGGTAATAGGCTTTCAAAAGAAAAAAAAAAAAGGTAATCAAGAGAGTTTACTTTAGTTCATCATAGAAATTGCCTAACTATCATTCAATATCAGATTTCAATCGGAATTTGATCTGAGTCCGATGAATAAAGGTATATCCGATCGATCCGATCCATTTGCAGTCCTACCCGTAAAGTCGGACCAACAACCAAAGCTACTCGTGACTGAGGGTGACTTTGGTAATTTAACTGAGATAAATATAACGAAGTAACAGACAAAAACGGGACACGTGATATAGTTCTGTCTCTCTATATAAACCGTCCGTTTCCGCCTTGTTTGCTATACCAGTCTCCTGCTCTTCTCCATCTCCATCTCTCTGCTTCTCTTGAAACGCCTTTGTATTTTGGGGGTTCTTTTCTCAGTACCGGGAAGCAGGAGAACAGTGAGAAGAGAAGAGCCGGGAAGCAGGAGAACAGTGAGAAGAGGAAAGGGGGGCGAACATCGAAGATGAAGAGAGTTTTCACAAGGGCATTACTGCGAAAAGATTTCTGTTCGAGGCGTCATTGCTTCTCTCAGTTGGCCAGAAGCGAAGCGACTCTTGAGGAAAGCGTCGATGTTCTCCCCAAACTGCCCCCCTTCGATTACACTCCTCCTCCGTATACCGGACCACGAGCGGCCGAGATCTTGCAGAAGAGGAAGGAGTATCTCAGCCCTTCCATGTTTTACTTCTATAAGAAACCTGTATGCTTTTGCATCTCCCTTCTAAACGTTAATCTTTGCCTCTCCTCTCTTTAGATCAAATTCGTGCATTTACATTTTGGTGCTTCGTCTTGCTTCAATTTTTTTTTGAGATTTTCGGACGTGCTGTGCTCTCGTTCTGATTCTTCTTTGAATTGCTTTCTCGTTCTGTCATTTATTATTTTTTGTATTGTAGAAAAATTCTTAATACAGTAGCACTCTTTATTTTGTTTTTAATATTTATTTAAACTTTTTCCATCTTTTTTCCTCTTTGAAACTTTCTGTAATTTACCAAAAAAAAATTCGTATATATCATCTCTTGAATTCCTGATCTATTTCCATAGCCCCCTGTACATTATACACATTGATGGATCCTCATATCATTCGTAATTCCACAGTTGAACGTGGTAGATGGGAAGATGCAATACTTGTTCGATGAGGACGGCCGTCGATACCTTGACGGATTCGGGGGGATCGCTACCGTATGCTGCGGGCACTGCCACCCCGATGTGGTTGAAGCGATTGTGAACCAGACGAAGCGCTTACAGCACTCTACCGTCTTGTATCTAAACAACGCAATAGCAGACTTTGCCGAGGCTCTCGCGTCAAAATTGCCGGGAGATCTGAAGGTATTTTGTTCGATTACGGCATGTCGTGTGTCGTTCGGTGTTTAGTAATTTTGGAATCTGGGGGAATTTGCAGGTTGTTTTCTTCACGAATTCTGGGACTGAAGCAAACGAACTGGCGATGATGATCGCGCGATTGTACACCAGTTGCCATGATATTATATCTCTCAGGAACGCATACCATGGCAATGCTGCTGGGACGATGGGAGCTACTGCACAATGTAACTGGAAATTCAATGTCCCTCAAGTGAGTTTTCTGTCTCTATGTCTCACGTTTTTCATTTGTGGCGATTATTTTTTATTTATTAATCTTAAAAAATAATATTATTACGATCCTCACACCTGGCGCTAACAGGCGCCTCACATGATAGGGAACATCTTCCATATACTTATTAGTTATAATTCACGGGAGATGTGAGGAGCAGATCCCATCACCATTACGAACTTCGTTCGATTGCTCTTGGTTGAATTGGTTCAAAGTTCAATTACATTCCTTCCGACATGGAGGGAGGCAACCAGGGTGGGAAAAGACCATCTGTCACTGCCAGTCTCAAACTCTGGCACGTAACCATACTGTCACGTGAAGTTTAAGAAAAAGGGCCACATGGCTATTGACAGACAAGACAAGGGCCTACTCACTATTGTCACTCATTCATGGGTCCCACTGCATACCTCAACAAAATCGACTGTTGATTGAGCCGGTATTCTGGCCAGTCGACTTCCTTCCGACATGGAGGGAGGCAGCTAGGGTGGGAAAAGACCATCTTTCATTGCCAGTCTGAAACTCTGCCACGTAACCATACTGTCACGTGAAGTTTAAGAAAAAGGGCCACATGGCTATTGACTGACAAGTGCCTACTCACTATTGTCACTCATTCATGGGTCCCACTGCATACCTCAACAAAATCGACGGCTGATTGGGCCGGTATTCTGGCCAGTCGACTTCCCGACCCCTGCGGTTTTCGTCTTGGTTTCTACGTTCTTATTTCAGCTGGCTAGGTTTCGCATTATGTTTCAATCACAGCCCAATAATCACTAGCCCACCCAAGTCCTAGTTCAGTTGAGTAGGTTCATGGGTAGTCAAGCCTAATTCGTAATTGCCTTTGTTGGGACCGAAGTACTAGGAAGAATGAATTGGAAGCTTCTTTTTTCGTAATCTTCGTACCTAATTACATTCTTTCAACAGATTGGTGTTCACCATGCTTTGAACCCAGATCCGTACAGGGGTGTCTTTGGTTCAGATGGAGAAAAATATGCAAGGGATGTTCAAGATATACTGGAGTTTGGGACATGCGGCCGTGTTGCTGGTTTCATTTCTGAAGCCATACAGGTAGCATTCCTACGTTTTTGCCTCCTCTCCCCCACCTACATGTTAATGGGTTTCATGAATGATTAGAAATTTTCATGTATTTTCTGGTGTCATTTTTCAAGTGGGTCTCCATGATTTTTTTACAGGGTGTGGGTGGAATTTTGGAACTGGCACCAGGTTACTTGCCTGCCGTGTACAGCAGCATAAGGAAAGCTGGGGGTCTTTGTATTGCTGATGAGGTCCAGACGGGTTTTGCTCGCGCAGGAAGTCATTTTTGGGGATTTGAAGCCCATGGAGTTGTGCCTGACATAGTGACAATGGCCAAGGTGAATTTTTGCAACTTCCATTCTAATTTTCTGGCCACAATTTCTCTTTGCTGCATCCCGGAGTAGCGTGCCCCTAAATTTCAATGGAACTTAAAATTTTTCCTTGTTGGAGAACTTCTTACCAAAAAAAAGTCTACAGTTTATATGTATTCTCCCTGATTAGAATATATGATTTTGTAATGACTTCAGGGCATTGGAAACGGTATTCCCATTGGCGCGGTGGTAACCACTCCTGAGATTGCACAGGTCCTGACTCACCGCAGTTACTTTAATACCTTTGGTGGGAATCCCGTATGTACTGCTGGAGGGCTTGCCGTTCTGAAAGTGATTGAGAAAGAGAAGCTTCAGCAGAATGCATTTTTAGTGGGGTCTCATCTGAAAGAGCGCCTTACAGCCCTCAAGGACAAGTATGAAAGTAAGTTACTGTGCCCTGTCCTGGTATGCTTAGATTTTAGAACTCTCCTAAGATTATGCAACTACATGCACATTTTCAAATGTATAAAAGCCATAATTCATGTTACTCGTATTGTATAATTGAGGCATAAGAAGATTTGTACTGCCAATAAATGCAAATTTTGCTTCAGGTAGAGGAAGGGGATCATTGTTACAAAATAAACACATGTAAATCTGAACAGATTTGGTCTATGCAGTTATTGGTGATGTAAGGGGAAGGGGTTTGATGCTTGGAGTTGAACTAGTCAAAGATCGCAAATTGAAAACTCCAGCAAAGGATGAAACTTTGCATGTCATGGACCAGATGAAAGGTTACATCCTCTCTTTCTCTGTCTGTCATCATTATTAACTTGCGTTCTTTCTTACCAATCTGAAAGTTAATTTTATAGAGATGGGAGTGCTGATTGGAAAAGGCGGGTTCTATGGCAATGTGTTCAGAATTACACCTCCCCTCTGCTTCACCAAGGAGGATGCAGGTCAATACTTACCTTGAGATAAGCACTTTTTGGTTTCTTTTCTTCTTTTTGTTTTCTTCTCCTCGAGGCTCCACGTACACGTGATACCAACACATGGACACATGAAGATTTGAATAGGAGTTCTTTGAACCATATTTTAGAGCTTAAACTGGGCCTCCATAGCTCATTAAATAAGCCCAATTCGGTATCCTCCTATCTCTTGGAGCGAGCCTCCAGTTCCAATGTGGGAGCTCCTTGGTAGGGAAAATTCGTCTGGTTCTCAGCTGGACCATCATTGTTCAGGTTACCTCTTTGTTCTCTTTTTTAATTTTCTTTTTCATTAACCTGGTTTTTCCGTCTAAATTTCCATGGTTTCAGATTTCCTTGTGGATGTGATGGACTACACAATGTCGAAGATGTGAAGGGTTGCTGTTGTGGTGTATAATGGGTCATCTGCATATCTTCTTGCCCGTTAATCTATTTATGTACATGTTTTTCCAATGCAAATTATTAATATATGTCGATATGATGGAATGCTTAAATATCTAGCAAGGAGATGATGAGACACCACCTCGTTGTCTCTCTCTCTCTCTCTCCCTCGCCTGTTCGCTCCTATTGATATCAAGTGCATATGCATTATTTGCATTGGAGACTGTACACTACTATTCGTTGGCTTAGAATAAATTTAAATGAGCAGAGTGCCCCCTTACAAGGTCTTTGCATATGATATGGGCAACAGTTTTAATTCAGTTGTATATATATAGACTTCAAATGCAAAGCAATTGGAATCCGCACAACTGTTACACACCCAGTCCTGTTGCTAGGATATAAGCTTATTTTGTATTCCTCCCTTTCCTATTGATCAGAAGCATCAAACAGCGCCACGCCAGTAGAAAGAGTTAAGCTCCTGTTGGGAAACTCGGTAGAAGTAATTTGCTGCTTCCGCCTTTCTAGGCTTCACAAGAGCCCCTCCCATATAGAATGCAAGATTTTCCTTCTCCCCATTATAACTATAAGAAGGCACGACTGACTTACTGTGCGTGCTAGCGTGCATGGCAAGATGATCTCTGATATCTGAGGCAATCCCTTTGTTAGTTTGCCCCATTGGCCTCCACCGTAAGAGTGGGCTAAAATAAACTGCGACGCTAGTGTTGAAGTGGACTCTGGTTGGGCTGGTATAGCCTATGTGGCAAGGGATCATAACAGGCCAGTGCTTGGGGCTCGGGGTATTCAAATCCGCTGCCAATCCATCCTCGATGCAGAGGCCAGGCCCATTAGACTGAGTTGTTCTGAAGCTCTTAAGATTGGACTGGACAAAATTCTGACAGAGGCGTACTGCCTTTCAGCTTAAAGACGAGACCATATAGACTTACAGAGTTCTCTCCTCTCACAAGTCACAACCTTTGGTTTGATATTAGTAGCCTTACAAGGCGATGTTCCCAAGCTGTTTTTCAGCATTTTAGGCATTCTGCCAACAATTTGGCTCACCACATAGCCAAAGTGGAGTTCACATCTGCATATTACCTTATTCAATTTGATAAATATCTGAATTTGACCGATTATTTAATTCTTATATATAATACATAAACTATTTAAATGCTTATATAATTTATATATATATATATATATAAATAATTTATATATTTATATGCATTAAATAAATAAAATATTTATTTTATATATTTATTAATTACTTAAAATAATTAATTGGTCGAATTCAAATTGAATCGAATATTTGAATATTTTATCGAATTTAAATTTGAATTATTTTCAATATCTGTCAAATATTGAATCAAATTCGGATACCAAATTTTCTCAACACATCCCAAATTGTGTATTGGGAACATCTCCTGTACTTGCCATTGAGAGATACTCCCAATACACAATCTGGATGTATTGCGATGCATTTGTTGGGCACCCTCTATGGGGTGCAAATGTGAATTCGCCAAACCAGTCTTATCGTCCTAGGAGCAACCACATGGTGGATAGCCATTTTACTAGTCCTGCCTTACGTTGTGTTTAATAAATAAAGCCCTCTATTGTTATAATAAAAAAATATCATTCAGCTACTGGGTCATCGACAAGTAGGGGTGCAGCTTGGGTAGGCCTAGCCTGAGCCCGAACCTGGCCCAACTATACACATTCATACATACATATATATGTATACACAAATATAAATATATATATATATATATATATATATATATATACACATACATTCTTTGCATACATATTTACAAATATACACAAATATATGTATATTTTATATTTTAGAGTGGGTTCATTAACCAACCCAAGCCTGGGCCAGGACCGAGCCCAACCCGAGTGAATCAAATTAGAATGCAGGCTGGGCTTAGGTTGGGAAGATCAGGCTTGACCTCGGGCTCAAGCCTTAAGCCCAAATTTTAGGGTCAGGCCCGAGTTGACCATAAACCCATCCCAACCCACCCAACTTGTACCCCTATCGGCAAGTCAATTTGGATCGAGACCGACCATTACCAAAATCAACCCATTGACATTGTAGCATTCAAACCTTTAGCCTTGGCTTAGTATGGGGGTGCCATGTATGGATTGGGTTTGGTTTGGTTCACTGTCTTGTGTTTGATAAAATTGTTGCACCTTCGGATTAGGCTCAAGTTGAGCCAAACCTATACCTAATTACAATTGTTGACATCCCTATCATCAAATGAGTTGTATTAGTTTTTACAACAGTAACACGTACTAGGTTAGCCTCAACCCAACCCAAAAAAGTTTGGCTGGTTGAATTTTCAGCTATGATTAGGGTTGAAAAACATGAACCTGGTTTGGGTATATATAGGTTTGATTGAGTATAAATGTGTTGTGGGATGGGCAGAATTTTTATGTGGACGGGTTGGGTTGAGTTTGGGTCAGAACTACTTCAGCTTGGATTCGTGGGTTCATGTTGAGGCACACCTATATCAAACCCAACCCATTGCCATCTCTAGATTGGGCTAACAGGCCTAAAAAAGAAGGGGGCTGGGCAAGTGTTGAAACTTTGTGCACCTGACCTAATCTGAACCTAGCAGTCTTCATGTTTACACATATAAATACTGTAAAAATATGTGCGTCTTTGCTTCACGTCCAGGCCATAAAAAGTTAAATCTATTATTTCTAGAGTGCCTTCACTCCTCGTAGATTAGTCGAACATAACATTCTAGTAGCCCATGAAGTCATTACCTTCATGAGGAAAACCAAGGGTAAAAAGACCTGGATGGCTCTGAAACTTGACATGAATAAGGTTTATGATAGAGTGGAGTGGAATTCCCTAGAGAAGGTTTTGACTAAGATGGGGTTTGGAAGTTGATGGATAGGTTGGATCATGACATGTGTTACAACAGTCACTTACTAGGTCCTCATAAATGGTGCCCTAGGAAAGGCCCTAAGACCTGAAAGAGGCATCCGGCAAGGAGATCCTTTATAAATCTCTTGAAATATGAGCTCTTCTTCAGTCATAATCTTCATTCAAGACTTCAGAAATTGATAGCTAGATGTTTATGCATTAAAAAAGTGGATCACCCAACCATATATCTAGGGCTCCCTACAGCCATTGGCAGAAGCGAAAAAGATCTTTTTTATCACTTAATTGAAAGAGTAAATTCCAAAACCTCCAAATGACATAATCTGTTACTATCTAGTAGGGGAAAAGAAGTCCTAATTCCTAAAATCAGTTGTATCTGTCATCCCTTATTATACCATATCTTGTTTTCATCTCCCAAATTCAATCTGTGATGAAATGGCTAGAGTCCAAAGGAAGTTCTGGTGGGGTGCCTCGAAGAATACAAGGAAAATTCATTGGGTCAATTGGAAAACTATCAGCAAGAACAAGCATGCTGAAGGTCTAGAATTTAGAGACCCGTACAATTTTTACCTAGCTCTCCTTGCTAAATAGGCATGGAGACTTTGTGTGGAAGAGAATAATCTTTGGGTTAGGGAGACTGGTTTTCACTTACTGGGGTCTTGCCATTTGGAGGCTTTGCGAGGTCAATTTTTACCCTCAGTGGTGTGTTCTATGTAAAGCGGATGGGGAGACTGGTTTTCACTTACTGGTGTCTTGCCACTTTGCGAGGTCAATTTGGGACTAGGCTTCCTCCTTATTTGGACGCAGTTGGAATCCCCCATCAGACTTGCAGGGCCCTTTCTCCCCCACCTTTTTCAGGTGGCGGATAAAAAGGGGAAGGATAATGTGGAGATGACTAAGGGCTACAGTATGTTGGACTTTGTACGAGGAAAGAAGCTCTAGGATATTCTCAGAAATCCAAAGAGGAGCAGCAGATTTGAAGGCTATCATACATATTAGGGTGGTACAGTGGCTGAAATATTTGAAACTATTCACAGATTACAYTGTGRATGACATGTTGAGGAAGTGGGGTGAAATTGCAAATTGCACACAGACCAAGTCAGTAATGAAAGTGGTTTGGACTCCCCCACCTAGATGATTCTTGAAATTAAACATTGATGGATGCAGTAGGGGAAATCTGGGGCAATCGGGGCAATCTGGGGCAATCGGGGATTGAACATCAAGAAACTCATAATTGAAGGGGATTCAGAGGTGGTGATAGGATGGCTGTCTAAAGATCAAAATGGGTTATTGTCTAAAGATCAAAATGGGTTATGGAAGTATAACAATGAGAGGAGGAAATTCATGTGGCTGGTGCGGGAGATGGAAGTTAAGACATGTTGGGTTAAAAGATCGGCTAATTCCCTAGCTGACGGTTTAGCTAAACAAGGGGCAAAAAGGAATTCATTGTTTTGGGCCAAGATGTAACTTTAGTGTATTCTTTTCTCTTTTTCTTATTTTTTCTTTCTTTTATGAGTCTCTTAGTGACTCTTGGAAGATAAGTGTGTTTATCTTCCTCCTGTAAATTTTCTACTGATGATTAATGAAAATATTATTGATCAAAAAATAAATAAATAAATAAATAATCTTTGGGTTAGGGTTATCAGAGCTACATATTTGAAAGGGAAAGACTCTGAATGACAGACTTCAAAAGAAGGGGTCTTGGGGCTGGTAGAGTCTGCTAGCAGGAAGGGAAGTAATCAAACTAGAAGCTTGCTGGGAGGTTAACTCAGGAACTAAGGTTAAAATTTGGAAGGATCCTTGGATTGATGATCTGCCTTCTTTCAAAACTATGGGCCTTGAACCAAGAAATAATGGCCCATTGTGGGTTTGTGATTTAATAGACAGAGATAGAAGATGTTGGGACCTAAATGCGGTTAATGATTTATTCACTAAGAAAATAGGATGTAAAATTACAAGGATTACCTTGACTCAAGGAGATTTGGGAGGATAGGTTAGTCTAGAAAGGAAACTCCTCAGGAAAATTTACAGTGAAGTCAGTCTATTATACTACAAATCAACTTAATCAGGAACCAATCCTGTTAAATTCGGATTGGCAAACTTCTCCTAAGAGAAAATTTTGGAATATTAAAACTGACCCAAAAATCAAACATTTCATCTGGAAATGCTGTTGGAATGGCTTAGTTGTCGGTGAGAATCTAGAGAAAAAAAAGTCTCTCAGAGTCTTCAATTTGTAAAGTCTGTGGTAAGGAGCCAGAAACTGTCATGTTCTTTTTAAATGTGATCATGCTAGGCTATCTTGGTTCGGATATGTGTTTAACTACGACTCATCCTGTGCTACCCTAGTCAAAGGTTTTTTTGGAAGGATCCCCAAGAAAATGTCTTGAAAATTGTTAGGGAATATC